TAATAATAATAATAATGTATTTTTATAACTTTTACCTCCACATTTACAGAAGAACCTAAAAAACATTGTGAAGCATTGTGATAAAGGAAGATACATTCTATTGCCTGTTGGCTTGTGTTGATGGGTGGCTTGTGAGATGCTGTGATTTCAGAAGGTATACCACCGTAATGTCAAATACCGGCAGGCAGACCAGCTACAGGAAAACTGCCAGACTATGACTAGGAAGAAAGCTTTTTAGCGATGAAAACCTGACAGATCCTGACAGAATATTGTCTGCTATGTTGCTGTCGAGTCCGAGCTCACCCTGCAGCGGGTTTTCCGAGGCAGTAAACCACATGAGAGGAGATTGCCCATCTTTCTCCCACAGAGCAGTGGGGGATCCCAAACAAGTGCCTTCGGAATTGCACTGCAGCTTCTTACCACTGGGCTGCCAGAACTCTCTGCTATAGTGATGGAGATCTAGTGGCCTAGTGGGTAAGCAGTTGCACTGCATATCTAAAGGAAGACAGTTCAAATCTGCCAGCTGCTTCGTAGGAGAAAGATGGGCAATCTCCTCCTGTGCAATTTACAGCCACTGAAAACTTTAACAAGGTGAGCTGAGGGCCGGTTCCAACTCAATGGCGAGGAGTGACTGAGTAAATCAAAGCTGGAAGATGAGGGCTGTTGGTTGTAAGACATTACGTAATAACTACACATGGCTTTGACAGTGAACTCACACATAGCAACCACTGTACGATGGCACACAACCAAGCAATGCTTCATTTGGCTTTCAGAAGGTCCCAGCCAGTTGGAAGTGATGCTGTGTCAACTAGAACAAGTGTTTGATTGACAATGAAAACAAAAAAATAAATGCTCACCACCACCATTTTTCCTCCTCAAATAAAGACCAGTAAACAACAACAACAACAAAATAGGAACATGAATTCTTGACAGGGAGAAAAGAGCAGGGCTTCTTACTGGGGAGTTTGCCTTCTGGACTGATCAAATTCCTGATCAAGGACTCCTGCCTACCTTAGGGAAGCTTTACTGGCCACCTATTACTCGTCTTGATGGCAGGAAGTGAACCTTATTGGGGAGATGAGAGAGATCTGTCCTGACTGGCCCTTTGCCCTGCTGCAGCCCCTGCCCTGCATTCTGGCTGCACTCTAGATCTTAACATTTTCCTTGCTTTCCTCCCATAGGCAAGAAGCGAAACCCTGGCCTTAAGATCCCCAAAGAAGCCTTCGAACAACCTCAGACCAGTTCCACGTAAGTTGTCTCGATCATCATCATCTTCATGCAAATTCTTGAACTTGCAGATTTCTGGCTCTGGTGGCCTAATGGGTAGAGAGTTATGCTGTCAATCCAAAGGCAGGTGGTTCCAATCCATCACCTGCTCTGTTGGTGAGAGATGATGGATCATCTGTCGTTAGATTCACAGGGTCAGGTATGAGTCAGTTCTGCCTCGATGACAGTGAGTGAGTGAATAAGACGGATTTCCAGGGCAGAGGGGTGCCCTGTGGGATTGGTGAGCAATGCTTTGACTTTGCAAATAGAAGAACCCTAGTTGAGGGAGAACTTATTTACGAGTGTTTTAAGAATGAATGAATGAATGGAAATTCAAGTGCTCTATAAACTTTCATTAAAATCCCAATTAAAAAAAATTACTACCTAACTTGGGAGGGACTGGAGAGCATTATGCTGAGTGAACTAACTCAGTCCCGTAAGGACAAATACTGTGTAAAAGCATTATTGTAGAATGTGTAGGAGGATATAAAGCGAGGAGGGTGGGAGCAGAGAGGTGAGGACGGGCAGGGGTGGAGTGGGGTGGGTGGGGGTGATTAATTATAGGGTTGCGTAATTTGATGGGTAGAGGGAGGGGTGGGTCAAGGAAATAGTAAAGACCTCTGTGTGAAAAACAATACATATGAACTTTGTAAGCAAACCAATATGAATAAAAATTTTATTAAAAAAATAAAAACCGTGCTAGCTTCGGCAGCACATATATTAAAATTGAAACGATACAGAGAAGATTTCCATGGTCCCTGTGCAAAGATGACACACTAATTCTTGAAGTGGTCCATATTTTTGTAAAAATCATTTGATAAGGATTATAAACTTAATTATTGTATTTAAAATGAAATTTTTTCTTCTTCTACGTCACTTGATTCAGGCTTTACATGTATACTTCTGTAACTTTTAATCCACCTACCTAACTTCTAAAAAATGTAGATTCTAATTGAAACATGAGAAAAGGAGTCTCTTTTTTTAAAAAAAAATTAACAGAAAGCAAATATGTTCTTCCTTTGCCCAGTGTTATTGATTGAAAGTAAAAATTTCAAGGCATGACTGTTAAAAAAATAAAAACCATACATGCTAATAGAAATAATAAAAAGGAGGAAAAGAAAGAGAAGGGCGAGGGAGCACACACATTAACTATAAAGGAGTCAAATATCACTAGCAAGTAAATTCATAAGAAAATAAAGAGTAACACTGATGGGCTGGAAAAGATTAAAAGACTTGAAATAATCAGTCAGCCTATATTGGATGGATAACTTTGTACTCGCTATCTCAGATTATTGCCTGGGTGCAAACTGAACATTACAGTGCATTTAGCAAACGGGGTCCTCTGTAATTCAAAATGGGTCCCGGATGGAGACTCCTGCTTTCCTCCTGTAGATTTGAGCAAACAAGTCAGTCTCAGTGAGAGCCACCGGCTAAAACATGGACACGTGGGGTGTGGTGAGGGCCCAGCATTCTTTTTTTTTTTCTATAATT